TAATACTTTTGCGCTAAGCAGCGTATCGAGAATAAATTTTCAGAGGTAGTAGGCGCTGAAAATAAATGTCAACTTCTATGTAATTTTGTAAATTTTAGTTTTTCATTTATTATTTAAATAAGTTAAAGCAGAATTAAAGGGACCAATTCGAGTCCGGAGCGAGATTCGTAATGCTCTTGCGTTTTAAAGTGGTGAATTATCTGTGGGAAGAGACATACTTGGTGGCGTTGCCCCCTCCCCCGGCCGACTCTTCTACGACCCTCGAATGTGGAGCCAAAACAGAGTAAGGCTCGTTATTTGGATGAAAGGAAATGAACCAAGTGTAGCAGTAAAAAATTGAACTAACGGAGATGAATCAAAATTTTAATATACGTGAAAAATAAAAGGAACAAAGCAAAAGATACGTAATAACGGAAACTGATCTCTGCCAGTCATATAAGTTTCTTCTTGCTGTGCTTCCACTGTACCTGATAACCTTGATGATTTTCCTTATTTTCATCATAATTGTTTATAATAATTCTGCGTCAATCAAACTAAGTGACATAATTCTTCAGGATGCTGAGTTCTGGTGAGACATAACATATTTGCCTCTATTGCAACCGGCCATATGCTCCTGTATAACGTATGCATTTCCTTTCTTATTTGTCCATTGTAATTTGTCTCGGCATAGCCAGTCTATCCGCTGAAAAACACTCGTTGTCTCCTCTTTACATAAAATCTCACAATTAAAGTTCTTAGTCTGTGTGTTGAGTGAATGAATGAATGATGAATGAATGAATGAAATTTTATGTTTAGTTATCTGTTTTCAGTCTGCACATGGCTTTATATTCCTTAAGCGAAATTTATCGACCCTATGCGTCTTAACTGATACTTGTCTATTAGAACGAAGTTTAAGATAGCGTCAAATATATGTCGGTTTCCTATGTATAGTAGATTTCTCAATGGTATTGTGATGATGCATTTGATGCGGGAGGTGGTTGGCATGTTCCACATGTTGGCTCGAAACTTTGATTTTTCAACAGGTCAAGTAAGAATTGCCAGTTGGAATTTCATGTTTTTCATTTCTGTAAAACAAGTAGGCGATGAGTCTGCTGTATGATAAAAGAGTACAGTAAATAGTGTGATTCTTCTGCGGTTTATATTGCTAACTACGGCTGATAAATTTCATCTATCAGTGAAATAAACTAAAAATAAACTTCCTATGCGGCGCCTGACGTTGCTAAATTCTTTGTGTATTTATTATGAAAAATTTTTATTCCAGGTGTTTGTGCCTCCTTCGGACACCGCGGTAGAGCGTCGCGGTCAGCGTCAGACTCATAATCGAGAAATTGTCTACCAGATTGGTTGCTGACCTTTTTCTCTTCCTTAATTGATGAATGATTATCTCTTCCTATAAGGATACAAGAAATTATTCACTTTCGTAGCAAATGAACAGCTGATAGCCTTGAAAGAAAGAAGAGTAAAACACTTCTGACTGATGACACGTTGACAGAGGTTAGCGCTGCACCGTAAGGTTCATTAAAAGAAGGGCGCCACAGCAAATGGTAATCAGTCATAAAAGTGTGAAGGAGACCGACGTTCGAATGGCTGAAAATATTCCTTTTAGTTCATCTTTCGAAGTTCACTATGAAAATTCCATTTTTAACGAATTCCGATTAAATTCAATCTCGAGAAAATCATTGAACCACAAGAAATCACTTTTCGTGTTATCAGTGTGGCACATGTAGGCTTTTCTGCTTATTTCTTTGTAATGACTGTTGTCTTTTGCTGGTTTGGAGACCGAGGTTGCTCAGTTGATCAAGTGCCGGACACAGAATCGAGTGATACCTGGTCCAAGACTCGGTGATCAGGTTCACTCGCCTTTCTTCCTTCTGAGGTAAATAAATAAGTGCCATATTCTGGGAAAGAAACTTGAAACTACAGGTTATGGTTGCCACACAGCTGTAGATTCTCTCTTCAAAGGAATAATGGCCCTTGATGATTGCATGGATTGGTCCCACACCATGAGATTCATGAAGTGAAGGGCGCCACAAATGAACCCCAGTCATGAAAATGAGGCAAACATCCAGACTGTTAACACACTGCTCCCTTTACCGTTTATTCGCTACTTACGGGGGTTATAACTTGATACTAGACATCGTG